CGCAGCACTGCCACAGCGTGCTACGATGATTTTTGGAACGGTGTTGGCAGTACTGCTAGCGCTGACAAACAATTTTGGAACACAGCCCTGGACTGCCAGTAGCCAACTTCAGAAGTGTCTCCAAGCTGAAAAATTAGGCTCCGCCCTGAGCCCAATTTTCTACGTGAGTGGGGAGCTTTGACTATAGTATATGCACGTTTATGATGTGCAAGTAACGGTGCACGTCAAAGAATAATTTTTTGGGTGTATAATATAAAAGATCCTGAACATTTTTAACATCAAAAAACATACACTGCTTTCCATTTAATGACACAAATCGACACAAGTCGACACAAGCGTCGTTCTATCCTTCTTGATATTCAGAGAGTGACAAAGATAGAATGACTCTTGTATCGACTTGTGTTGACTGTGTCTCCTAAAAGAAAAGCAGCCATAGTAAAAATATGTATTGTTTTATAAACGGGTGCAAATTATCGAGGTATAAACAAAAACATGTCGAAAACAAACCATTTTTGCCGTTTTACAAGTAAGTTGTTTATTTTTAACCTGGTTTTTTTTACCAATTGTAAACTGATATTCAGTATATTCCGATTATTACTTAATTTCATGTTCCATGTAACTATTTCCAAAATATGATTTATTATTTTCATTGTGCATATTGACTTGGAATCGGGGTGATCCCGATTGACCACGTCTCGATTGGACACCACCAATCACAGCGATTGGTGCTTAGGACCTTTGTAGTCTCAAGCGCTGTGAGTGGCTCGTGTCCAATTGAGCCGTGTCCAACTGGTTGCCACCCCTTGGAATCTAAAGTACTGGCAATATTATAAAATTGAGTAAATTGATATTTTTGCAGATTTCCAAAAAATTATTTATTATTACCTTTCATTAAATAGTTTTCTCATATATTCATTTATTGCTAAAATTATTATTTTTATTTATTTTCATTGTTTTATATCCCTATTATAAACATACAAATTCTCGTAACAGGTAGCCTAACCTCAAAAACAATACTACATCACTTTTTCATCCATTTCAGATTTTTTTCTGACTTCTTATCAATTCTCAACCAAATATTTAATGAATTTAAACTTTTCCTATTTGAAAAAGTCTTACTTATATAATACTGGCTGTTTTACAATGTGCTTTTTATTTCCTGTTTCTTGCTGTTTGTCTCTGTTGTCTCTTACCTTTTTGATCAAGAAGGCAAAAGACAAGCAGCAAGAAACAAGAAACAAAAAGTATATTGTAGAGCAGCCATTTGTCTTACTTATAAAAAACATGACAACTTTCGCATTTGAACTTCCCGGTCTTTGGGCTCCAGGGCGGAGCCTAAGTCCGGATCTACAATAGGGTTTCAAGCCTTAAGCCATAAGAAATGGGCGAATCACAGTCGCTTATTCTTCTCGGATTCGATTGTAATTGGTCAATTTCTTACGGCTTAAGGCTTAAAACACCTATTGTAGATCCAGACTAACAGTATTCAGCCAACTTTAGTTTGCGGACGAGAGTGTGCATTTCCTATAGCAAAAATGAGGGACTAGCAGTCCAGGTGTATATAGTCAAAGGTGACGTCATTAATCTGAGTATAAAATACTCAGCTCACTTCAGACTCAGTTTCACTTGTGTAAATGGAAAGCTACTAATTACGTTAGCATGTTAACATACTATACTTTATGTTACGCATATTATAGAATTTCAGATATAAAAGTGCGCTTTTATCGATAAAAGCGCGTTCTAAATACAGGCCTATTGCTGGATTCACACTGTATCCGATTTGCGTCGTACGATGCTCTGTAACCAATCAGAAAACTGGATTCCGATAATACGAAGCAAAATCCATCGGAATCCTGTTTTCTGATTGGTTACAGAGCATCGTACGACGCAAATCGAATGCAGTGTGAATCCAGCATATGTCTTTGGATTGCATCATTTTTTTTTGCAGTTCTTGTAGACCACTCGGGCTGCGGTCCACTTGACGCTACAAACGCTTCGAAGCGTTTGAGCAACCAATCAGAACAAAGAATTTTACAAATTGACTAATCAAAAACGCTTCGAAG